CCCACAACCCACCCGAATAAAAGTAAGCATTGTCCCTAATGTTGAACAAAATAAGTGTGAAAAGAGAAAGGGCGAAGAAAAATCTCTAAGCATCCTTAGACATCACAGTGTCCCCAGCAACAGCATCTCCCGTTGGGTCAGCCAACTGTATCTTATCATCATCATATCTGGGAGTGACAGGAGTGGAAAACATCGCACGCACTGCTTCAGCAGTGTCGGCAGTAAGGCATGGCTCATCAGACTGGCCAGCTGGTGCAACTGGTGCATATGGATCTGGGGCAGACTGGTCTAGGTCAAGTAACATACCAAATGGAAAATTCCCACTTGCCGCAAGTCGGGTCACCTCCTTCCTAAGCTTATCAATTGATCTCTTGCTTGCTTGGGACTTCCTCGTCTTCTTCACTTCCTTGGTCAACTCCTCAATAACCGACCCGTGTTGTACCAGAGTGTTCATGATCATCTTCTGGTTGTCCAGAATCTTGCACAACTTCTCATCAAGATCAGTTGAGACTTGTGGTGCCTATGTAAATGACTGCGCTGCAACAGTACTAGATATCTCAGACAACTTTGAAGTAGTTGTCTGCATCCAGTTGTTAAGACTCGCCACAATTAAGGTATCTTAGACACCTTCGTCTCAATTATCTGTCGTGGTTTCTAAAAATAGTTATCTCAAATTATTTGTCATTTTAGAAGTTCAAGATTAAATTAATTATTTATTTTTCTATTCTACCCTTAATATTAATTGTTCTTGAAGACTATAAATATCTTTAATTATGGTAATATTAAATGAAGAGAAATTATATAAGGATAAAATAATCAAAAAAATCTTTTATATTTAATATTTTCTTAAAGAATTATTATAAAAAGAAAACACGACAGAGTTTGATCTATCTTGCCCCGTGGCACCGGTGCTCGTACAGTTTTACCAACCAAATCTTATTTTATTTTGTCTTACTATGCGCACAACAAAACAAAAAAAAGAAAAAAAAGAAAAAAGGATTGCTTGGACTTCCCCAAGCAATAACCAGTCATTCTACTTTTTCCACCTTAAAACCACTCGTTTTTTTTCTTCGGATATTCACGTTTGCTTATCTCCAAAGCTAACCGTTACACTCTTAGACATAGGTGAGAAAGAGGCGGGCAAACAAATGGCTCCGAAGAACTTGTCATTCAAGGTTTGTTTTTCACCCACTGATGAACTACCCTCATTTTTTCTCAAAGCTTTTGAGTTTTAACAATTAACACAATGCTCTGTTCTTATCTGAAAGTTAATGTTTCATGTTAGTTTCCTACAATTCTATGATATACTGAATGTAGAAGTAAATGACTAGTGGTTCCATATGTTGAAAGATAATCCTGGGTTCTTCCTCCATGGCACGTCGAAAAATTCTAGCTGACATGGGTTATGATTTTACAGTTATGGTAAGTCCAATTTTGCTTTTAAAAGATTTTGTCTTTTCACTAGAACTCGCATTTTCTGGTCACTGTAGGTTCTGGACTCGAGTCTAAGTTTACTTCTCTAAAAAGGGATTGTCTTTTCTAGTAGATTTTGACTTAAAATCAAATTGTTTTGCGGATTAGACTGCTGACATTGACGAAAAGAGCATTAGGAAGGAAAATGCTGAGGAATTAGTGGTAGCTCTAGCAGAGGCAAAGGTATGCTACCTCCTTTCTTGAATTATTTGGACATTTTTCATGTCTTCTTCAGTTAATTTCACTAATTCACTAATGCCATAACCTATTTTTAGCTAGAATAGGTTAGAACATTTGTCGAATTTTATTATTATGCAAGTAATTTGAAATTGAAAGGAAGATCTTTCTAGTGTATTAGAATTGCTCTTTTAAGTAACAGAAATCACTCTAGGTATAACGGCCAGGAGTTATCCTAGTGCAGTTATGTGATGAATTCAATAAGAAGGTCAAATCCAAGATTCTGGTGATTGGATGAGATTTATTCTTGAGTGTCCCCTTGACATCTTTGGTGTCCCAGTGAAACTTTAATCACTTCACCCATCAATTATTCGAGTTATCAAATTGCCATTTGATGGTTGGGGACTATCAATAAATGGGTACTTCTCTTCTGTTGATATTTGACTGATTTTGAGTAGTTCGGCTTAATATAATCAACTCATTTGCTTTCCTTCCATCCCCATGACACTCTAGCATGCCATATAAATTGAGACGAGGGCGTAATATGTAATACATTGATATCATGTTCCAGTACTGTAAGAACAAGTCTTATGTTTGCTTACTGGTCTTTTCTTCTTAGGCAGATGCTATTATGTCAAGGCTCGAAACAACTGAACAGTTGGAGGAAAATACTCATCCCACTCTGTTGATTACTGCAGACACAGTATGTTTATTTCTCCACATTGCTAGGGAATACTTCAAGTACCATGGTCTTGTTAATGACGTGTAGTTCAAATTATCTAGCACAAAATTATGACATTTTCATACTTATTTCAGTAATTGAATTGAGGGCTCACTAGAAACCAGTTAATGCTATTTTTCATTTATTCCAAAACTAGTTGGAGATATCGGCACATGTAGCAATAAACAAATAATAGCATTACATTATTTTAACTAAGTAACTTTGTATAGGAGAAGTCTGGAAAAAGTGTTGACATTAGCTATGTAAATTCTTTTGTTGGATAAATGTTGCAAACAGTTGATGCATATTGTAATGCCATTTTAGATTGACATATATTGTGTGGTTAGCTAATTTTATAGTCTTTTGCTTTGTTCTCATTTAAAATTGGACGCTCCAGGCTTGCTCCGTGATGGGCAATCTTAATTCATATTACTGTTAAAAAGTATATTGCAAAAATTAGAGTACTTGAGCCGTCTAATGAATTTTTTCTTGGATGAAAATAGATCTTTTTTGGCTATATCTTACCTACATCTATTGGTATCGAGGTGGCGGTGTACCAAGGAATTATTAGAGAAAAGCCATCAAGTAAGGACGAAGCACGCCAATTCATCAAAAGTATGTCTGCATTTGTGGTTGGAAGTTTCATCCAGTATCTTTAATATTACTCTTGCTTTGCCTTATTTTTGGATTTCTAGTATTATCTGATGTTGCTTCTGCTCCGGTTTGTTACTATCTCGTTGTTGTTACTGCTTCTTTTCCATGAAATCTTCTCTGCTATATTTCATTTTCTTTAATGTTGTGATTATGCTTGCATGAGCCAAGGGCCTATCGGAAACAACCTCTCTACCTGCACAAGGTAGGGGTAAGGTCTGCGTACGCACGCACTACCCTCCCTAGACACCACTTGTGAGTTGTGAGAATACACTAGATATGTTGTTGTTGTAGTTTCATCCAGTATCTCAGCTGGTCAGGTTGTTCTTTATCTTTACTAGCATTATTACCATTCATGTTGTTATGAATTGCAGGTTACTCCGGTGGTCAAGCCACGGTTGTGGGATCTGTTGTGGTGACCAACCTCACAAAGGGGATAAGAAAAGGAGCTTGGGAAAGGTCAGAGGTATATTTTTTCTCCAAGTGAAGTAATTCCTATGTGCTGGAGACTATTGAAGTACAAAAACACATTTATACAGTACATTCTTGCGTAAATTGATATGTTCAAATGGTAATGTAGGCTTAGCTGCATCTTATGCATAAGTGTGTGTGATGTGTGAGCGAGGATTAAGGCGATGTGCCATTTGAAGATATGCCAGAAATCTATTTATAGATATTTAAGTAAGTACATTAATGCTTATCCCAGGCGAAAAAGAGTGAACGTTGATGGAAGCTGGTTAATTTAAAGCCCGTTAACATTAACTCTCTTCACCCATGAATCTGTTTCTGTATCATATACTTAACTTGGACAAAGATTTCCTTTACTGACCATCCAAGTTTATAAGGATGCCCAAAATGCTTACGCTTTTATGTGCTCATTGGAACGCCAATACAATTGCCTCAAATCTCCCGGATTATTAGTTTGCTAGTTTTATGTTCTACGCACCCCTCCTTTTATTACTGTTATGAATTGGTTCTTTCTTGATGGTGGGATGCAACATGATTTTGCTCACAGAACTTTTTGCTGACTTTCTTGCACATGATATGATTAGTTAACATGGAGTATAATGATCTGCTGCTTAATTGCAGGTATATTTCCATGAGATACCTGATGAGGTCATTGATAGCCTGGTAAATATGACAGTGTACTTAAATAAGGGATGTTCTTTACCTGCAACATTAACTTCTAGTGCAATTGTGTAGATTGAGGAAGGAATAATACTTAATGTTGCTGGTGGTTTAATGCTTGAACATCCACTGACGTTGCCCTTCGTTGATACTGTGGTTCGTTTCTCCTTCTCTCTCTCATATATATATATATGCTAGTTTTAGTGTACGCGCGATGCGCGTGTACCTTGTACTAATGTGCCCAAACTTTTAAAACTCACGTAAATAATATTGAAAAAATATTTATAAAATAGAATCTAAGAAAATAAATCGTAAATTTATGAAAATGATAAATGTTAAATTGTTGATCCTATGTAGCTAATTCACCGAAGGAAGGAATCATGTCTTTTAGAATTAAGTATTAACCAATGTTTATGGATTGTAAATATTAATGAAAATGTGAAAAAGCAAATCAAACTAAAAATACGTTGGTACTTCAACCAATGACACCTAAGAAAATAATAAACTAAATGTATGCATATTCTTGAAAATGTATTTGGAGTTATAATATAAAATTAAATTTATAGCAAGACATTTTTGAATTTAGAATATATTATGAATGATGATGTTATTTTACTTGATATTTAATTGGATCGATATGCAACTATGATAATAAAATAAAGTTAGTTCATATGATTTCTAATTAAAATATTTTTACTTATTAAGTGTGCATATGTTATTAAGTTGTACCAAATATAGACGTCTTTATTTACAACTAACTTTTAAATAGTTGAAAAGCACAAAGAAATTGGTAGCTTTTAAGCTACCACATGAATAGAATAGAAAAGAATATAAACTTTTAGTTAAAAGAAGGGACTGAAACGGGAAAAGGAAAAAAAGAGCGGGGGTTGTTGATGAAGAATCTAAACTCTAATAACAATGGTTTTAGAAAAAAGGTTTTAAAATGTGAGAACTTAAGTGATAAAAAGAGAGGATAAAATCAAATTAGGTAAAAACCAAAACCAAACTGATGAAGAAACACCAACACCAAACTCATTACGGCATTTAAGTTTGTTTTGAAACAAAATACCACGAAATATAATTTGTAAGAAGTCTTGTTATTTTACATGTTCAAATAAGGAAAGAATTTATATAATATTATATTTTAATTGATTTAGAAATCCTATTAGGATTTTCTATATGGTTCAAATAAGAAAAGATTTAATAAGTAAAAGTTTTAGTTGATTCAAAGTCTTAAATATTAGGAAAATAATTAAATGACTATTTTGTCTAATATAAACTCTATTTTAAAAGGGTAAAAAAGGCGAACGACATTTCGCTAAGGGCCTTCGTGCTTTTAATATAGTACTAGTCTTAGGGTACGCGCGTTGCGCATGTACCTCATATAATGAGTATATATTTTATTAAAATTAGTTAATTATTATTTTTTTAAAAATTATTTGAGTTATAAAGTAAAGATTAAAGGCAAACCTATCAATTAATTGAAATGGAAATTAACATGCAAAAGACATGATCGTAAGGAAGCAACACTAATTTGGTGAGTAAGTTTAAGATGTAAAAGAGAGAAAATTTACCATAGATTTTGGCTTCATTTTTTCAAAAATAAATTAAAAACATTATTTATTTATGAAATATGATCATGTTTTGGGAAAACAATTTCAAAAATTTTCAAGTTTCCAAAAACTGTCTAAACCAGTTTTTGGGTGAAAATTTTCCTTCCACTCACACAACTTCAACTTTCAAAAAATAAAAATTATTTTTCAACACAACTTCAAAGACTTTTTTTTTAAAATTTCAATCAAATCTATGTACAAACGCTAGCTAAATTTTTTTTTATAAATTTAAGCACTAATAATGAGTATAGTTTTATCCATTATGAAATATGACGATATAAATTTTAAAGAGAAAGCAATGGCTAAAAGAAGTGGGAATCGAAGATAAATTTTCGAATTTGTTAACTATTGCATCCTTCTAAAAATCTTCAATGGCCAAAGAGTGTGTAACTTTTGTATTTGTGTAGTTATGTAATTGTGTGTGTTTTCTGTATTCATATTTAGAGTGAAATACCGAAAATTAGAGTTTTTCTACCCTAATTCGGTGTTAGAGCCCCGAGCCAGCTCGGACTCTTTGCCCAAACATCCTGGAACAAACTAAGTTATTGTAATTAGCAAACAAAAGAGAGCACTATGTGATTGAACTGTTCGTAAAGAACACCTGAGCATATTGGAAGACTAAGCTAATTAAGAATATCTATGTTCATTAGATGAAATTGAATACCTCAGTTTATTTATAATACTCTTTCAGGTTAAATCAAACCTTGTCGGATTTCACATTCATGGCATAAAGGAGTACTAAGAAACCCTCCAACCAAGAACATGTGAGTTATAATTGACAATTTTCATCAAACGCAGAACTTGAAAGACTTAATAAAAAAATATTTTAATACAATGTAACTAGCAAAATAATCAATCAAAACAATACTCAATTATGTAATTCGAAATTAATAGATTTGGATTTTTCATCAATCATATTATAGTTACATGGGATTATGAGATTAAAATTACTAACAAAACAAATAAAGAAAGCAAGCAAAAAGAAAGATAACAACGAATAAGGCTTGAATCACAACCAAAACAAAAGGCAAAACAAAGTAGAAAAGAAACGGCAACTAACCAAACCTATCGGACTTGAGTGAGAAAGAGTATTTTGATCATTAAAATGTATTACTTAAATACAAGTTTAATGGTGATCAAAATACAAAATAGTTTTCCTTTTCAACGTGATCTTTGTTAGTATAAAAGGTAAAATCTTAATTAATTAATTTTAAAGTTTTAAATATTACTACTTTTTACATAGTTCAAATAAGGAAAAATATATTAAATAAAATTTTAGTTGATTTAAAGTGCTAAATATTAGGAATATAATTAAATGACTAGTTCAAAATCGTTGTGATGGACATTATGTCTCCTTTGGGGAATAGGAAATATCAAACAGAAAGCATAATCATCTGCAGCTCAATATCTCTTTAACTTTTCTATGTATAAAAGTAGCTGAGTACAAGTGGACTGCTTGGAGAACAGGCAAAAGAAGCCTCTGCTTTCAACGATATGTTGTTTATACTCTTTGTTGCCAATACTTTGCAGATTGGAACTGCTGATCATGTCATGGGACTCCCAAGAAGTCTCACTGAAAAGCTTATTCAAGAAGCACTCTAGCTGCTGGGTGTCCACCAAATGAATATCCTTACGATCTACCCTCCTAAAATTCACTATTTGCACTTGATTACTCCCCCTAGATTTTCGAATTTATAAGATTGTCTTTCTGAACTCTGAAGTGAAGGTTTGGAACATGCCGAAATGAAAAATTAGCTTCCATCCCAGTAAAGAAAGTCATTTTGCAAATATCGTCTTACTCTATATCACTTGCCTTAATGAACATATGGATGTTGTAGTTAAATCTTTAATACTCAAAATATCACTAAATTATTATTCTTATGCCTTATATTACTAATTATAGGACTAAGCATGTCACCTACGTTTATACTTGTTCAAACGTCGGGAAAATGATTCAATTCTTCTTAAGGTAACACTTTGTCATGCATAAACACTTTGTGAAAGATGTTTTCTGTAACAATTGAATTGCTAACTCACAAGAATAGGAACTGCCAGATTGTATTGATTCAATCAATGAATTACAATGAAGCTTTTGTCAAAACCAGCCCTAGAACCGCCATCAGAGAGTTCTGAGTTATTAGGGAAGAAGCTCTGGTGAGTAACATTGAAGAAGGTTCTAGACAGAGAAATGGGAATTCTTTCAATGTAATAATCGAATCTGTATAGAAAATGAGTATATATAGACTAACGTATCACACTAACTAATAGTTGCATATATACACGTGCTAACTAATCGCACGGACTATCTAGAAGAGTATACCTTAAATAGCTAAATGTACAACAACAGTAACTACTTATCTCTACACTCCCCCTCAAGTTCAGAATTGAAAATGTTTTTCATTCCCAACTTGGACACTAGAATTGCATGTTGACGATGCCCCAATACCTTTGTCAAAATATCAGCTGGTTGCTCCAGAGTGACTGTGTGAAGTCCTTATCAACCCTTCTTGTATCTTTTCTGTGATGAAATGACAATCAATGTCAATATGTTTTGTTCTCTCATGGTATATGGGATTTGCAGCAATCTGCAGAGCAGCTTTGATGTCACAATACAAATCCATGGGCAGCTTGACATTCACTCCTAGCTCTTTCATCAGCCCATTCAACCATGTTAGCTCAGCTACAGTGTGTGCCATGCTTCTATATTCTGCTTCACCTAAACTCCTGGATATGGTGCTTTGTTTCTTGGCTTTCCATGAGATTAGTGAGGTTCCCAGCTTAACACAAGAGCCTGTAATTGATTTCCTGGACATAGGGCAAAAGGCCCAATCAGAGTCACATAATGCCTCTATGTTTTCTTAACCTCTGCTTGACATTAACAACCCAAGACCTGGCTGTTTTTTATGTACTTCACTATATGTAAATCTGCTTCATAGTGAGATGTCTTTGGTACATGCATGAATTGACTTAGGCATTGCACTGCATATGCAATGTCTGGCCTAGTGATGGTCAAGTATAATAACTTGCCAATGAGTCTCTGAAAGATGTTTCTGTCCTTCAATGGCTCAACAGCAACAGTTCTCTGCACATACTTATCATATTCTGTACTCGTTAACTTCAGGTTTTGTTCCATAGGGATGTCCTTAGGCTTTGAACCTGATAGTCCTGCTTCTGATATCATCTCTAGAGAATACTTCCTCTAAGACATTAGGATGCCTTCTTCAGACCCGGCAAATTCCATTCCCAGAAAGTATCTAAGCTCTCCAAGATCTTTCAATTTGAAGCTTTTATGTAGGGCACTTTTAGCTCTACGTATCTCTTGCAAGTCATTACCTGTGACAAGCAAGTTATCTACATAGATAATAATAAGCACAAACTTGTTGTTAGTAGTCTTAGTGAACAAGGAATAATCATGTCTGCTCTGCTGAAAATCAGAGGATAACAAGGCGTGTGTCAGCTTCACATTTCATTGTCTAGAATCCTGTTTCAAACCATATAAAGATTTGAGTAGTCTGCACACCTTATACTCCACCTGACTACCAAATCCCTGAGGAAGAGTCATGTAAACCTCCTCAGCAAGATCACCATTTAGAAAAGCATTATGGACATCCATTTGATACACAGGCCAGTGCCTACGGGCCGCAATGGCTATAACAGTTCTTACTGTGGTCATCTTGACCACGGGAGAAAAGGTATCATGGAAATCAATGCCTTCTTGTTGTGTGTAACCCTTAGAAACTAATCTAGCTTTGAACCTTTCCACGGAGCCATCAGCTTGATTTCGTAGACCAATTTGCAACCTATGGGGACCTTTCCAAGTGGTAAATCAACTACATCCCAAGTATGATTTTGTTCTAAGGCTTCAATCTCAAGGTTTATAGCCTTAATCCACCTATCATCTTTAATGGCTTGAGAGTAAGAAGTAGGTTCAATATCAGCTGAGAAAGAAGCAAGAAAGGATTGAAAATGAGCAGGAAGATGAGTAGGAAGCAAATTGATGAATAGGGTAAAGGCAGGAAGTAGAAGCTGAAGGTAAATGAGGGTGAATGTAATTAGTCAGCCAAATATAAGGCTTAAGTGTTCTACCAGATTTTTTGGGCAGCAAAGAATCAGTATAAGGATCAGATGGACCAGGTGGAACAGCAGAAGAAGAAGAGGAAATAGGATTAGGAGATGGAGTAGGTGAACTAATAGATGGAGCAGGATCAGTAGGAGGGGAATGAATGTCATTAGAAATGAAGTCATGATCAGGTGTAGGAGATGGCAGAGGATCAGAACTGGGGAAAAAGGAGAAGAAGTAGAAGATGAATCAGGAGTAGCAAGAAATTTACTCCTGGGATGTTTGAAGGGATAAACATTCTCGTGAAAGATAACATCCCTGCTAACTATGAACTTGTTAACTTCAATGTCATAATCATATACCCCTTCTGAGTAGTAGCATAACCCATAAAGACACCAGGGACAAATTTAGGAGTGAATTTGTCATGCAAATCTGGTTTTGTGGCATAACAGAGGCATCCTAGAGTTTTGATATGAGAAAAAATAGGGGGTTTACCATGAAAGATCTCATAAGGTGATTTTCCATGTAAGACAACACTTGGTAGTCTATTAATGATATAGGTGGCAGCAAGAATGCAATCCCCCCAGAACCTCAAGGGTATATTAGCCTGAAATCTTAAGGCTCTTCCTACCTCCAGGATATGTTTGTGTTTCCTCTCCACAACGCAATTTTGTTGTGGAGTGTGGACACAACTACTCTGATGAACGATCCCCTTATTTTTGAAAAAATTAGAGCATATGGTATTAAAACATTCATGACCATTATCTGTAACGACCCGACTTGTCGTTTTAAGAAATTACGCCCCGTCCAGTGACTTAAGGTCTCGAGAAGCTTCACAATATGTATTATGACCAGCGTGTGTGGTCGAGTTTGGTTTTCGGAAGATTCAGAATTTAATTTAAAGAAAAATTCTCATTTTTAAGCTTAAATGGAAAGAGTTGACTTTTGAGAAAACGACCCCGGAATGGAATTTCAATGATGGCAATAGCTTCGTATGATGATTTCGGACTTAGGCATATATTCGGATTTGGAAGTCCGTAGGACAATTCGACACATTTTGGCGAAAGTTGGAAAATATGAGATTTTGGAAAAGTCCGACCGAAGGGTGAATTTTTGATAACGAGGTCGGATTTCGATTCCAGAAATGGGAATAGCTCCATTACGTCAATTATGAATTATGTACAAAATTTGAAGTCATTCCAGATTGATTTGATACATTTCGGCGCAAAATATAGAAGTTGAAAGATTTGAAAACTTATAATTCGATTCGATGCGCGATTCATAATTCCGGCGTTGTTTGATATGGTTTGAAGCCTCGACTAAGTTCGTATTATATTTTGGGACATGTTGATATAATTGGTTGAGGTCCCGGGGGCCTCGGGTGGATTTCGGAAGGTTAATGGAGTAATTCAGACTTGGAAGAAGCTGCTGGAAAATGGCAACAGCTGTTGGATTCGCACCTGCGGAATTTTGGGCGCAGGTGCGACCACGCAGAAGTGAAGAAGCCATCGCAGAAGCGGAGATGGAAGGGCATGGCAGTGGTCACAGGTGCGAAGAAAATCCAGCACCTGCGAAAACGCAGAAGCGGGAAAGGAAGGCATAGAAGCGGCTGTTTGCGCAGATGCGCATGTTGCATCGCACCTGCGAATGCGCAGAAGCGGAAAGGATTTCCGTAGGTGCGATGTGTCTGTTGGCAGTGGCCTTCGCATAAGCGAGATTTCACTTGCAAAAGCAAGCACGCAGGTGCGAAAAATAGTCTGCATGTGCGAAACTGGGCAGAATCATAAGGACAAAAAATGGTCATTTTTGGCATTTCGTTTTGGAATTTTTGGAGCTCGGATTTGGGCGATTCTGGAGGGATTTTTCACAAGCTTGGTTGAGATAAGTGTTCTATATCCTAAAGTGATTATATTTCATGAATCTATGATTATATTCATTATTTAATTCGGATTTAAATGGAAAAAATCAAGATTTTTACAAAATCTTTCAAAAACGAAAATTTAAGATTTGGAGGTCGGGTTGTTATTGGAATTCAATAAAATTGGTATGGTTGAACTCGTATCAGAATGGGTGTTCCGGTTTTATGAAAATTATGTCGGGTTCCGAGGGGCGGGCACCGCGTTGACTTTTGTTGACTTTTTGGAATAAAATTTTAAGTCGACGTATTATTATCCGGAATTATTTCCGATGAATTGTAATGAAGCTATACAATTAATTTGGATACATTTGAGCTGTCAGAAGGTCAATTCAAGCAAGAAGGCGATTTTGGAATATCGACATAACTTCAAAGAGATAAGTGTCTTGCTTAACCTCGAGTGGGGGAATTACCCCTTAGGTATTGAGTCTTATGTGCCATTTTTGAAATATGAAAAGCCGTGTACGCGAGGTGACGAGTACGTACTCGGGCTTATACGTGCAAAATTCATTGAATTAAAGTGTTAGGCATTATTGTGTAGTAAAATAGAAAATTATTAAATCATCTGTTTGCCATGACTAAATCCTTATTGTTGAACTTGTTTTTATATGATAATTTGATGTGATTGTTACTTGAAATATTTATGAAATTTCGTGAGTATTGTTGGTTTAATATTGCTTGAAAATTAATTCCAATATAAATCTTCTTATGCAAATTATTAATTTAAGCGAGCTTAAGAATAAGTGTTAATATAATTATCTAAAATTACATTAATGAAAGTTTTGCTTTATGCTAAGTAATTTCTATCTCAAT